CTGGGAGTAGACACTCCACCATCCCCTCAGCCTCGCCTCAGCTGTCAAACCAGTTCGGAGCTATGAGGACAGGATTTTTGTGGCAACAAGTCGGCATACAGCCCTAGGCCAGTGGACAGAGGTCGGAATCTGGGGCAGCTCAGGTGAGCAAGATCAGTGCCCAGATGTTGGAGAGAATCAGGTGAGAGGGAGGAGAGCCTGAGGCAGCAGCCAGGGCTGAGGTCGCAATTCCTGGTCCCAGGGCAGCTCAGGGAGGTGCAGGCCGCCGCAGCGGAAGCAAGGGAGCCAGACATGTCAGCTTGGCCGAGCCACCTGGCCTTTCTGGGCTCATTCTCATCTGTCATGTGGGAGCTAGAATGAAGGGTCTCTAAACTTCCTTCCTCCAACCAGCCCTCTTCTTTCTCCCCACCGAACTGCATCCTCAGTGCCCTGCTTCTGGTGAAAGTCTCAAAAGCTAGCTAATGAGTGGATTCTTACTTAGGTGTCTGGCTGACAAGGAGCTAACATTTTAGACTCGCCAGACGTATTTTTGAATAGTTTTGGCTACAGTATGGCCAGTGGGACGGAGTGGACTTGAAGGTCAGTGGGACGGTTTGAGTTCCAGCGGTGCCACTGAGGCAGCCCTGCGTTGCTGTAGGACCTCGGCCATTTCCTGTTCCCAGGAAGACTCTCTTACCCTATGGGCCAAGTCGGAATACTAGCCTCTCTTAGGACTTGTATTGACTAAGTGAAGTTACATAAATAAAATACCTGTTGAGAGTTTGGTACCAAATAACTTACCCTGAGTGTGTGCACCCTCCTTTAAACTTGATCATGACCAAAGGAACAGAGTAGTCGAGATGGAGACTGAGGCACAGGAGGTTCCCAGGGACTAAGTGCCCTTGGGATCCATGTGGAGGGCGGGGGAGGAAAAGAAGGGAAGAGAAAGTTGAGTTGTGGCTCAGCCGTCCTACTGGGGGGTTTGAAGCTGGGATGACCCTTCAGAGATCCCTTGGTTAGGGACAAGGGGCCAGGTCTGTATACTCCACACCAGCCAGTCTTTGGACATGAACTGCCCACGGAAGGAGATGTGACCTTGGTCAGAATGATGGTTCAGTTAAGGCAGTTCCCACAAGGGGCTCAGGCTGAGGAAAGCGAGCCCTTCGTTCCTCAAGGGGGTGTGGTGTCTACCGTATTGGTGAGTAGGGCTCTTGTCAAATTAAGTAGGTGACTCCCCAGGGATAAGGCCAATCTTGTTGGGACACTTCCAGTAATTTCTCAGAACCAACCACTTCAGTGATGTGGACAGAGCCACGGGGAACTCCATGTCACCTCAATTCCACCGTCGTGCTCCTGCCAGGGCACCTTCAATAACCCCGCTGTTAGTCAGTCGTCTCAGTTAAGTTTCTGTGTTAATGTTTTGCTTCTCCCAACTAGATTGTTTAAAGGAAACACTTTAAAACTTGTTTTCCATAATAGCTACCTTGGTTTCTGTCTTAAATATTAAAGGAAAATCTGTTACTTGAGGAATTCTTGGTTAGGTCTGATAATCCACTCCTGGGGGGTGGGGATGGGTAGGGTAGTAGGAGGCGAGTGTGGTGTCTTGCAGGGTTTAAACCTGCTCCATTCCAAGAATCTGCCCAGACACTTATCTAGAGCCAACTTTAGTCTACAGTCAGAACCACCCCCCTCCTATCCGACCCTGCCCCCCTCATCCGCCTTCCTCCCACCAGAGGCCCTCCATCCGCCTTCCCCCGACCAGAGGGCCTGGGATCAGCGAAACACAGGTGGTGGAAAGAGCAAAGCCCTGGGGGTGAAGTCCAGGCCGCCCTGTCCCTTACTAAGGCCTGTACAAATCTCTGGTCCACAGTGACCTCACAGCACCCTTGTCAGGGTTAGTAAGGCAACGGGCGTGTGAAATCATCAGCACGGCTGGGAACCCAGCTAGACACTCTTAGCTCTGACATGCCTCTGGCAAACCAGACTCAGGAGCTCAGGACGTCTCCTTAGGTCAAAGGCAAGAACCAGCCTTTGTGAGTGAACTGGTGAGGGCTATGGCGCACTATTTCTCAGGAGATGACCCACATCAGCTGGTCCCTAGGCCCACCCCCAGGGACCCGCATGCTTAGCAGCTCCCAGGTTCTACTGAAGCACGAGAAAGTCTGAGAACCCCTACCCTTTCTCTCTGCTTTTAGCAATGAGTTGGCCATTGATGGACGAGCAGATGGCTGTATATAGGTTCTCAAATGTTCTCAAGTAGTTTTATAGTAATTACAGTAACATGACTCCTGTGGGACAACGCTCATTGCCTACCTCTGACTCATGGGTAAGAATCCACATCCAGTATTTCAAAAGATATTTAAAATTTTGTTTCAAGTACGAAGTACCAAAATCGCTCTTTATAAATCACACACACAAACACACACACACACACAAACGAATTGACCAGGCAGCATTGCTGACAGGCTGTTATGGGAAACCAGATATGCCCAGTGTTTGTTGAGATGATCATTAATTGGCTTAAATGCTGGAGACTTAAGATATGTAAACATCCACACTGTTTGAACATTTTTTGTACATCAAGGGACTTTCAAGTGCTTTTGTCTGGCTACAACTCGCATTTACTAACAAAGTAGCAGCGGCAGCGCTGGACTGGGAGACAAGGGGTGCATCAGTCATTGGTAAAGTGAGAAGAGGCAGGACAAGATCAGTGTTTTGAAGTTAGAGCACGAATCGTGGATGGTTTCAGGGTCTGGATCCTGTGAAATCATCAACCAAATTTGTATATATCCATTTTTTCTGGGGATAGAGTCTAGCTTTTCTTAGATTCTCAAAAGGTTCGGAGTCTCCTAATGGTTTAGCAATTACAGTCTGGATGCTGGGGAGTCTTCCTCCAACTCTAGTTCTAAAGAAAACCAATGTTCCAGCTCCTTTTGGGGTCTAACTGGATGGGTCACTGACTTCATTTGGCTTTTAAAGCCGTGAACGAATGCTCTCTCTACACCACTTGCTTCTTCCCGGAACAAAACAGGCCCTTGTTGGGCAACATTCTTCACTTTGTACAAACAAGACGATTTTCCCCCAGACAGTATGATTTAACTTGTTTTAATGTAGTCTGCTATAAAAATGGATGAAGATTTCTGCATGGTGCATTTGCTTTACAAATGTTAGTGACTAGTTAATGCCTGTGTTATGGGTTGCACATCATTAGATTCTGTTGACCAGTAACACAGCTTTTGCAACATGGGTTAAATACCAAAACTGTGAATCATGGAACTTTTACTTAGCACACACCATCTACGGCAAACTTAAATACTAATCTATAATACCTAACTGGATTATTGGATCCATTGCAGTATTGTGCTTTTTATCTCAGAAGATAGGCAACTAGCAAAAATACACATTTCTTTTTCATTTCCCCCACCCCCATATTACACTGTAAAAGAAATACATTATTCAGTGCACTTCCTAAGAAATAAACTTCCCCATAATATCTCTCTCTATATATCTATGCCAAAATAAAGGAAGAGCACAATGCAACCTTTAAGATTACCATTTAAAGCAAGAGAGGTAATAATACTCTGGGACTATCGCCCCTCAATTTAAAAAGTTCAGCTATTTTATCATCAACACCATCATTTGGCTATGCGGGGAATGAAGCTCAGTGCATGACTGCTCTGGGAAGTGTAAGATACTCCCTTCATCACTGGTAGACTCTCTGGGGGCATTAATCATTTTTAATTGTTAAGTATTGGCCTCATCAAACCATAAGCTGTGGAGACACCGGTGTGCTCCTCTGCGAGTTACACATTAATTTCCATCACCTGCCATCAACTCATACTGGATTAAGAGGAAACAGACTTAAATGACAGCAGGTCAGGGGCTGCTGGGCAGATGTCGGCGAGAATGTATGTGAGGACACCATGTCCTGTGACGCCCATCCCTGTGGACACACAACCAGATAACCACGTCGGAGCTGGGTGTGGGCGGTCTTGTTTGGAAGAGGGAGATGTTCGTTATACTCTATGGACTTTGTTTCCTGTACTGGCCTACAGGTTGGAAAGTTTGGAGGCTTTGTCCTCACACACCTGCCATGATGGAAATAATTTAAGTCTAGAACGAAAGGGATTGCAACTCGGAAGCTGTGGGCTAAACCCAGCTGCAGAAGTGTTTAAACGGTTTTTGAATCAGTTCTTGATATTTAAAAATGAGGATGTTTCTCATGAAGATTTGGATTTTATAAAATTTGAGGAGCTGGTAACCCTGGCCCAGCATCTTGCATGGCAACAAGCTGCTGGAGGGAACAGGAGGGGACCTTTAAATGGGGCTGGGGCATCCAGTGTGCTGCGGTTCCTA